CTCTCTCTCTCTCTCTCTTTCTCTCTCTCGCGCTCTCTCTCGCTCGCTCTCTCAGGAAATCTGTTAAGGTGATTTGTGTGAGAGTTGCTGTCTCACACACACACACACACACACACACACAGAATAACACTATCATGAGTGCAGTGTAGTGCCCTATGTAGTGTGAGTCTCACCCTGCGCAGTCGTCTGGCTGAAATCCCTCCAGTTCATCTCTCTGCTCATCCAGCGTCGACTCCAGATCCAGATACACACCGGTGTGAGAGAGCTGCAGAGCGCAGTCATCCAGCTGCACACACACACACACACACACACACACACACACACACACACACTTTACAATCAGGGACCGTATCACACTGTTATCCATCAGATAACATGACTTTTTAATCTCACGGTTCAGACTTTTTTCCAACAATTCTGAGAAGAAAAGTCAGAATGGTGAGATGTAAAGTCACAATTAGTTTGGTAAGAAACAGGCGTTCAAATATTAGTTTTTTATTAATATTTTGAATTCGTTTTTATTTGTATATTTTCTGTTTTTTTTGTTTTTTTTTGGGTTTAAGTTTTAGTAATTTTGTTGTGTGTTTTTGTCATTTTTGTTGATTTTTTTTAAATACAGCTATATGGTTTTTATACATTTTTATTACAGTTTTAGTTTTAGTTATTTTAACTAATTTTTAATATATTTTTTATTTTAGCTAATCCTTATTTTCTTTTTTAAGTTTTTTTTATATTTCATTTTATTTCAAGTAATGAGACCTTTTTTATATTTTATTTTATTTCATTTAAAGTTGATTTTATTTCAAGTAACAAATTTTTATGGCTTTAGTTAGCAACCCTGATTAGTATATTAGTATAGTGATTAGTACAATAAGTAATTTCTCTCAAAAGGTACACTCATTAGTATACTATTAATATTTTCCATTTTCATTTTGGTTAAGCAAATGATAATTTTGTTGTTGGTTTTTGTCTTCTTTTTTTTTTTTGTGTGTGTATATGTGTATAATGACATGGGTACTACAGCGTAAACATGGTTTATGAGGACCGTGTGTTTCTGCGCTTTCACGGCTGATAGTAATCGCATTTACTGCTCTGTAATGTCTGAAACAGGGAAAATATCACTTACACTGATGTGTTTTATGACTGATCCTCACAAAACTGCATTTATTTCAGCACTGTGAGTCCTTTGGAAGGGTGATTAGTGACCCACACACACACACACACACAAACACACTCTCACACACACACACACACACACACACACACACACACACACACACACTCACA